ACCCAAGGGTGTGGATAATTTGACCACCTGCTTAGAAAAAAAAAAACAAAAAACAAGAAGAGAATAAGAGACCAGATTACTATAGAGCATATGGAAGGTTATACACTGAAAGTATGCAAGTGAGGTTTGCGAAAATGAGTGCCCCTCACAATTTTCCTCCGGGAGAACTTCATCATACATTCACCAAAATGCTAGGTTTAGTTACTATGTTCAAAAAGAAAGTAAGGAAAAATGAACCTTTCAAGCGTTGTTGATTTGATGGTTTATGTTCTATGTATTGTTGTAACTAAAGAGAACCGTTACGTTGCTCTGGGATTTAGCTCGTGGTACTTGTGATATTATTGGCTAGTTTATTGCAGTTGTTTACGTATGTTTTCTATTTATTTAGTAATACACACACTCACACTCACACACATACACACACTTGGTGCATACCCAAATGTTGCGTTGATGGGTGTGTTTCTTTATTTCAATTTCTGATTCTCACATTTTTTGTTCAGATTCTCACCAAGTATGCATAAGGAATGAAGAATTTTTTAGCAACGTTACTCAAGCTTTTATTGTCATATTATAATTATGTTCCCGTTCAATATCAAAATAGAGAATATATATTAAAACTACCTCAAGTAATCTGGAACCTCTGTGATCTAGTCTGCTAATTCATTTGCAGATAATAATATAGGCTTCTCAGGGCTATTTTCAGCAGTTCCTAACTGCAAAAACCCTTGCCAGAAATGCCAGATTAGAATAAATGTAAGCATTATAAATGTTCACTAAAAGGACAGTTCATATAGACCATGTTAGGAGTAATGCCGTCAATATTAGATTTTCCTTAATAAGTGTGCATAATAAGATTTAATATAATATCCTTTCAATGAGTTTTGTTAATTCATGTATAATACACATGAGATATTTTCAAAATGTGATACTAAAGAGACTCATCATAATATGATGCTTTAGAGAAGTGTCTGTAATTCAACTTCTACAAAAGTTGAGTTTGAGTTCTTTGTTATTTACTATTTTTCTCAAAAGATCATGTTCCAGAAATTTCTTTCCTTTTTGACCATTCTTTTTCAATCACATGCTTTGTATAGTGTCTCCTTCTTGTGCATTTTCTTGGCAAGCTGACTTTACTTCATGAGGCCTTAAAAATTTCATGGGTTTAAACTTTGTACTTATAATTCCTCACAAAGTATCAGATTGAATAAAAGTGTCATTTTATTTATTTAGTAAAAAATTCACAACATATGAGTTTGGGCAGGTTTTGACGGCGATGGATTGAATAATATGAGTTTAATTGGATATAATCCAACAAATTGAATAAGGTCTTGGAGTATTCAGGTTTTGATTATGGTTGTGTTTATTACTCCAGCCAAATTTAGTTTGTGCAGGTTTTGACTGCGGTGGTGATTATGTATAATCTCCAAATACTACTTCGGTGAGCGGGAAAAGAGAAAGACGAGGAAGAAGATGACGATTACAAGATTAAACAGAGATGGAGAGAACTGCCACCAATCTCAACATAAGATTGCAATCTGCAGTCTCATATTTAATATCCTCTAGCTCTTGTAGTACGTATATTAATTTTTTAAAAGATTCTGTCTAAATTAAACCTAGATATATAGAGTGAATAGAGTGATTTTTAGATACATACAACTCTAGTAAGCCAATTGGAGAAGTATAGTTCCATTTTTTAAAAACAATATATATGATCTAATGCCTAAAGTATATTGACACAAATTAAGGTTACTAACCCTCGTTCACAAATATGAGTTTGTTAGATTAGATTACTAGTTTGATATTTTAATGACAATATCGATAAGTTATACAGAGTAGAATATGAAATAATTTTCTGTTCATCTTGATATTAGTGAAAAGATATTGTCACATAATTTAAGATTTTCATATTCATTATGTGAAAAGTTTCAATGTGCATACAGTACTCACAAGTCACAATGTGCATTAGTGAAAAGTTTATCTCATAATCTCTATGTTCCATAAAACATGGCAATAGTTGATATATATGTAAAGTAATCAAGTAAAAATTGTGTGGTTGAAGTTTGTATAGATAAAAAAAATTAACTTTAGCCTCAAATTTATTTCTTTGAATTGAATCAATAATATTTCCGTGAAAAGGCTAAAAAAGGAAATGTAGTAATATCATATACTACCTCTGTTCTTAAATAAGTGTAACAGTCAACATTTCACATTTGACGAGGCGCAACTTTGACCGTTAATATATATAACTCTCTACTAGTAAAAAAAATTAAAAAAAATCAGATTTTGAAAATTTACAATGAGACAAATTTAATAATATTTTTTCCAAAATATATTGTAATACATCAATGAATAAAATGTAGTCAAAGTAGAACATGTGAATAGTGTAAAATTTGCAATGTTGCACTTATTTAAGAACGGAGGTAGTATGAAATAGAGTGAATCGAACAACTTTTATGCTTCTCGAGCCCCCGTTTTTGAGCGCACAGTTTGAGTGATTTCACTGGAAAAGATTTCAAGAGAATATCGGATTTTATCAATTTTATCATTGATAAGAATAGAACAACTTAAATAGTACCCCGTCCCATTGGACTTTACCAATTTTCCCTTTTTTGTTGTTCACAAAAATATTGTCACTTTCTCTTTAAAGTAACTAATTTGTGATTCTGCTCATTTTTCTATCCTTTGCACACAAATACGTAGTATATGAATCACACATTTTTATTTTTCTTATTTCTCACATAATTCAAAGTGTGTAATGTCCATTGGAACAAAGGTAATATAACTAACAGATCACCATTAAATATACTAGACTTAATTAATAATAAAACAAAATATACATTATAGAAATTCTAACTAAACAAGAACATATCAAATAAGATCATATTACACCAATTCAATAAAAATGATTTCTATGGTACCCAACTAATAAGCGGTTCAAGATCTAGCCATTGAAGAGAGAGGAGCGGCAATTGAGAAACGTAGCCGTTGTCTCCTCCCTTTCTCTTCTTTTCTTCCCTTTTTCCAATTATTTTTTATTCAATAATGGAAAAAGATCCTCTTAGAAAAAATGGCAGGCGTATAACTATCTAACTTTTCATTTCCAAAAATATAGCAAGTTTGACTTTTCCCACAAAAGTGACCCGCATCCAGCTTTTCTCTCAAACCCTATTGCGGCATCCATTAGTTCTCCTTCCCTATTGCAGCATCCATCGTTTCTCCTTCGCAGCTCTCCATCTGTCGCCGACCCACACCTCGCCGCTCCGCCGCACTCCAGCCGCCAATGCTCCGACGCTCCACCGCACTCCAGCCGCCTCCCCGCTGCTCCACCTCACTCCAGCCGCCTCCCCGCCGCCTTCCTTCTCCTTCCTTATGGTCTCCATTTCTGTTCCGCCGGCATCCGACGTCACCACCTCTATCGCCGCTTCAACCGGCCTCCAACTCGCCGCCCGGTTCTATTCTTCTTCTTCTCGTTTTTTCATATTTGAGGTGAAAGGAGCGGCCGGAGTTACGAAGGTGGTGAACGACGGCTAGGGGTGCGATGGTGGTGATGGGCTGGAGCTGAGATCTATTGGCTGGGGCTGAGATCTCTTGGCTGGGGCTGAGATTGTGCTGGTGTTGATGGGCTGGAGGTTGGGGGAGTGATGATTTTGGGGTTTGGGGATGAACGTTTGTGGGTGATTGGTGCTGAACGGTAAGGATGAGTTTGCAGGGTAAGAGAGGCAGGGGGATAGGGGTAATGGGCAATCTAGCTAAGGAGATGGTAGTTGGTGGTTCTGGTTGGATGGCCGCCGGAAAATTATCTGGCGTAATGGAGGGCGACAGTGACTAGCCGGGGACGGCGGTCACTGGCCGGGAGCGGCAACAGTCACTGGCCGGGGCGACGGCAGTGACTGGTCGGGGGGTGGCAGAGTAACTCTTACGGTGGAGTCACTGTAGCGGTGGAGTCACTGTGACCGGAGTCACTATGGCAGTGGAGTCACTAACTCACTATGGCGGCGAGTCACTGTGGCGGCGGAGTCACTGTGGTCGGAGTCACTTTGGGCAAAGTCACTTTGTTCGGTGTCACTGAGATAGTGACTGCTTGTGGCGGCGGCGGTGCTGGTGGCGGCGGCGGCGGCAGAGGTGGTGCTGGGTTCTAGAGGTGCTGGTGGCTACCAAAGATGACTATTAATCAAATGTGTAAAAGGAATATTAAAATAATAAATATATGATTAATAATAAGGAATAAATGACTTTTAGTCACATTTTTTGAAAAATTTAAAACATGTCACTTTTTTATCTTTTTCATTCATTTTAGTAATATTGGAATAAAAAGGCCATCTTCTTAACAAGTGTTTTTAATTTTATCTATAGGTTTCTTTCCCAACGTTGTATAGGGATATTATTTTCAATGACAAAGTATCGTCTGCCAAAGACATATTCCCTGTCATTTTCGGTCAACCGTTCTTTTGTGCTAATAAGAGGATTTCACTGATCTTTCCATCAATCAAGAATATGAAATTCTTCTGGCCAATATTGAGATGGATCACCCCCCTCCTGAAGCACCGTTCCAGTAAGATGAGATCACATGATGTGCTTTTTCTTCTGTGACTGGTGAAACCGAAACAAATTCTACATTTGGCTCATTACGAATGACTTGACAAACCAGGATGTTTATTACTTTGTTTGAAAATTATTGTGATCGTAGCAGATAAGCAGATAGAGTTTATTTTTTTGCGGGATTAGCGTTTCGGCATTTTCGATTTGAATCGTCCATTACTATGTGCCATTTTATTTAGTCTTGACTATATAATTGTAATTGTTTTTGTTATCTTTATTAATACTACGTAATAATTAAGCAAGTAGAGTCTACCTTTTTTTTAAAGAAGATGATTCCTTTCAAAAAATATTAAACTAGTTCTGAAAAATGCCTCACATGAAATTAAAAAATTATCCTAATTAATTCTCACATGAAAATACCCAAATAAATTCACGTTTGAGCGGAATATCCTCTGACTACATAAGTCCCGTGTGAGAGACTTGATCGAGAAGCTCTTGACCGCGTAATCATTCGTTCACCAAACTCAGTCACCATTATCAAGCAATTCACATGGTTCCCACCATCCATGTAAACCGCCCACCCTCATAAATTTGCTCTTGACCCAAACCTCGATTCCCAAAATTCAGTGCCCAAAATTCGTAACGACGAAATCCCAAAACGGTAGCGCGGGCAAGTTAACTTTTCGAACAAAGCAATCATATGCTGCTAATAAGCAATTCCCACATTCCTCTCCAACAATCTAGCAACCATCCGCTGATCTGTGAAGTATAACTGTGTCAGTTCGAGGCGTTTGCCATGGCGGACAAAGAGAATTGCTTGAGGGTAACGCGCCTTGCGAAGAAGAGGGCAGCGGAGGCTATGGCGGCTGAACAGGAGCATCACAGTAAGAAGAGAGTGGTTTTGGGAGAGATTAAGAATGACCCAAATGTCGGCGTGAATCAGATTTTTGACAATTCGAAACCCAAACCTAGACAGCAGAAGTTGAAGACTCTGAAGGATGTGAGCGCTGAAAAGGTTACAGCGGTTGAGAAATGTCAGGAAGATGAAGTAGAAATTGACGCGAAATCTGATGACCCACAGATGTGTTCTGCATACGTTTCTCAGATTTACGAGTATTTGCGTCATCTGGAGGTGAATGCTGAGCTCTTTTGCCCTTCATTTTGATTCTTTAGTGTATGCCTTGACTGTGTTTGATAAGAAATTAATTGAAACTGTTCTTTTTCGATTTTTCCTTTCTGTACATGTGAATGATTTGATGGGTTTCAGTTCAAGTTCAAAAGCAAAGGAACAATAGTGTTAATACAGTGATCCTGTGCATATTTTTATCTTGATTATTAGAACTTTTAGTACAAGTATTTACTTTGGTCTGGTCTGGTCTGGTCTGATTATTAAGTATTCGGGTGTGAACTAAGTTAAGGTTTTGCAATTCAGGCACAGGAGAAAAGAAGGCCATTGCCTGACTACTTTGAAAGGGTCCAGAGAGATATCAGTCCTAATATGAGAGGGATTTTGGTAGATTGGTTGGTTGAAGTTGCAGAGGAATACAAACTGCTCTCTGATACTCTCCATCTCTCTGTTGCCTATATTGATAGATTCCTGTCCACAAATGCCATTATCCGCCAAAATCTTCAACTTTTGGGTGTGACTTCCATGCTTATTGCTGCGTAAGCATAAATTTTATGTTATTGAATCATTTTGTTCAAGGGATTAGGCATTAAAGACAAAGCTTAAATACGTGTTTTTTCTGATCACTAACAGGAAGTACGAGGAGATTAGTCCTCCACATGTTGAAGACTTTTGTTACATTACAGACAACACATATACCAGGGCTGAAGTTGTTAAAATGGAGGCATATCTCCTTAAATTTCTGAAGTTTGAAATGGGAAGTCCGACTGTCAAGACATTTCTTAGGTATTATTTAGCTCCTTTAATGCTATTGCTTTGTTTGAATTATACACCTCCATTCTTAAATAGATGCAACATGTTAAATTTACACTATTTACATGCTCTACTTTTTGCTGCATTTTATTTGTTAATGTATTAGAAATTTAGTTTTTGAAAAATGTTGTTACACTCCTCTCATTTTAAAATTTTAAAATCTGATTTTTTTAAGTTTTTACTAATTAAGTACGGAGTATGAAATATATCAATGGTCAAAGTTGTTCATTGACAAACATGAAAATGGAAACTTAGCAATCAAAAAAGAACAGAGTAAGTACATATGGGATTATGGGCTGTTATTAAGATTTAAGAATCAATGAAATGTTCTTTGACTGTTTGGGATTTCGTTTTATTTTATGCAGAAGGCTTACCCGATTTGCACAAGGAAATAATGAAGTAAGCTCGCAAACTTATTTTGTTTGGACTAAGCCATTTTAAAATGATGTGCTACTAATAAGTATTTCATGCAGACTCCAGACTTGCAGTTAGAGTTCTTAGGTTACTACCTAGCGGAGTTAAGTTTGTTGGACTATTGCTGCCTTCAGTTCTTACCTTCATTGATAGCTTCTGCAGTTATATTCCTTTCAAGATTTACAATTCAACCTAACCTCCATCCCTGGGTATGTATATTGTTTTAATTGCCCTGCACAGTTCTAGGGGAAACTACTTGTTAAGTCTTGTACGTAGTATCTTCTAGGCAGTACCCATAATGGCCCTGTAGCTTGGATCATTTTCACATCTGGCCTAGTAATTCTTATTTTTTGCTTAATTTGAGGAATTTTGGCTAAAATATCAACTGCATTTGAATATGTGCCGCCTATTTTGGTCTTTTTTTGTTTAGTACATGTTTTTATGGGCATATAACTCTCACATTGGGCGTAAAATCAATGGTCAACATTAGCAAACAAAAATAAACTAAATACAATGTGATATACTTTTCCTGTAAAGGGCCAGATCACGTAATCCAATAGATGACATCCAGGGCCATTTTGAACTAAACTACCAAATTTCGTAAGGGTCCTAACTCCTAACTATTGGACCATTTTTGTTACTACTAAAAAGATGACCATAATAAAATATCCCATGTATACAGTTACATATGGCTCAACTGTTAAAGTATTGATCTAGATGTGTGTATTGCAGAGTCAAGCACTCACACATTATTCAGGTTATAAACCATCTGATGTGAAAGATTGTGTTCTTATCATACATGACTTGCAACTAAGTAGAAGGGGCTGTGACTTGTTCGCCATAAGAGAAAAATACAAGCAGCATAAGGTGTGTTTGCCAATACAATATTTCTTATTCTGTGCAAAGTGTTTTTTTGTGTGACATTGGTATTTATATGAATTCTGTGTGTGGTGTTATGTAACAGTTCAAATGTGTGTCATTGCTCTCATCTCAACCGGAGATACCTGATTCCTATTTTGATGATTCAAAACTAGGAGTATGAGCAGTTAGCTTAGGCAGCTGACTGGAGGTTAGTGATAGTTTTCTAGTGATGTAATACAAGGTTAGTTTATTCTCTAGTCTCTACGTATAGGCTTTCTGGTTCGGTTGCTTATATTTGATTACGATATTTCTTATATTGTGCATAACAGTCACAAAGATCTGCCATTTTTTTGTAATATGAAAGGTATTATACCATGTTCCACATATTCATGTGGTTTTTTATTTATGGAAAGCATGGTGGATGGTGTCACGGTATCACGGTTATCACCTAAAGCGTATAAAGCTATTATTATACCATGTTCTATATATTCGTGTTTTATGCCATGTTCCATATTTTTTCGCAATAATATCCAATATTTGAACATATAATAGGAATGATACAAAACTATTTTCCACTAGAAATTCAGTCATTTAACTTAGAGCTGGACAAAATAGTTTGGTTCAATTGAACGGACCTAAGAATAGTCTTTTGGTTGATCTAGAGTGTGATACTCCGTATATATATCTAGTGTAGCATTTGGCAATCACAAAAACAGGTTGTACTTATATCAATTTTAGTTAATCTAGAGTATGATATACCTTTGACATGATTTATTTGAATAAAAATATGAACTTTAACAATATTTACCACCTAGTAGTTTATTTTCCTTTGAATATTTTGATGTGGTAAATGCCAACCAATCATAAAGTTAACTTTTGTTAGAAGTGAATATTTTTCTAGTGGTTAAGAAAACGCAATTTTGGATTAAGACTTTCAAATGTACCTAGACTTTCAAGAAAAATTCAGTAAGATATGTGAGGTCTCCCAAATGTACCTCCTAGTGTTAGGGCTCAAGGCCTATTACACCCTAGTATTCCTGGTGGGGCCAGAGCCAGACTTTAGTACAAGGATGGCTCGAATCGGGGCCAGGGCCAGATACCAGATACCAGTATTAAAACATAAATCTAAAAATATCGTAGCAATAAAAATGATATATTAATATTCATTTATAATATTCATAGGTCTAAAATAAAACTACATGTCAGTTATAATTAAGAACGTCTTTCTTGCATATCATGAAGATTGTCAATTAGCTTTAAAATGGAAATTGCCCTAAATAGGAGTAACGTTTTGAAATTCTAAAATAGAAGTATCATATTTTTTATTCTCTGAATAAGAGTAATCTGTCAAGTTTGGGAAAAAATGTCATGTTAAAAGCTTTGTAATGCCAAACTTGGCAGAAATTTACTCTTATATAGGGAATAAAAAATAAGATACTCCTATTTTGAAATTTCAAAACATTTTTACTCCTATTTAGGGAATTCTCTCAATAGAAATTATGAAGTTAAAAAGCTAGCCACACATAATTTAGAATAAAATCGCATAACCACTTATTTATAGTGAAAAAGTCACGCAAAAAAAGTATTTTAAAAACTAACAAATCACCGAATACCAATAATAATAGTTTTTAATTGGAACAATTAATTAAAAGTAATTGATACACAATTAACAGATTGGGAAAATGACATTTTAATCAAGGAAAGTTAGATCTCCGATACCAAATTAACGCATATTTGCCTATTAGGGCTTATGTTAAAATTGTGATTTATATATTGGTCCTAAGCAAAAAGCATAAAATTACACAATAAACTACTCCTTCCGATTCAAAAACAAGTTTCACCTTTCCTTTTTGGGCAATTCCAAAATTAAGTTCCACTTTCAAACCTTTCCTTATTTGACAAATTATCTACATCAAAATAGTTCCAAACAGTGTCAAACAGTGCCAAACAGTGTTCAAACAGTGCCAAACAGTGCACTCCACAGTAAAGTCAAATTTCTTTTCTTAATATGTGTGAAGTCAAATGTGGAACTTGTTTTTGAATCGGAGGGAGTACAATAATAATTTAGTACAATAATAGCCACAAGTGCCCACAACCTTGCTTTCTTGTCGCTTCCCTCTTCCTCTTTTCTTGTACTTTCTATTGTTTTAAATAAAATTCTTTCTTCAAAAAAAATATCTTATGTTTAAAATACACGGACATTTTCATCAAAAAAAATAATAATAATAAAAAAAGCGCCCACAACCTTGATGCGCAATGTATACTCGGTATTATTAATTTAGTACTCCTTGTTGTATTTATTATATTACTAGTTTACTACTAATAATTATGAGGAGTGGCATAGGAATAAAAACTACAGAGTACTACTATTGCATAAAAATATGGGGCCCCCATGAAATGTGGGCCCCTGTTCTATAGAACTCAATTCACTTGCTATTAGTTGACCCTGCATGGTCCCTTGAGGCCTTGACTAACAAGGTAGCTCCATCCCTATTTGCTGGCATTCTCTTTGTTAAGATCAGATTAGACATCTTTGGCTCAATGTCAAATGAGTTTAGGGGAAGGAAGTTGTGCATTATTGCCATAGACTACTACACTAATAAGTCGATTGAGGTTGTGGCATAAGATGTTTTTACTTGGATTGTAATTTGTTTCAGACCAGATCAAACTTGGATAGTTATAAAAATATAAAGAAACCAGACATTACCAGATCACGCTAGACCAACAAATTACAGTCCAAGTAAAAACATGCTTACGCACACGGCACAAGTTAGTTACGCACAATGCAAACTCCATTCAGAAGCACATCATTTGCGGATTCGGATTGCTTGACCGGGTGGCCACAGGCAATATAAACCATTCAAGTATGGTGCCTTCCCTCCTATATTGTTAGAATACAAAATCAAACACACACATTGTTTTGTGAGGTACTCCTTGCAAGCATACAACCAAGAGGAGAATTTGAATGGGCTTGAGCATTGGACTAGGTATAAGTATAACATGCTGCATGCACACCTACATCACATCTTGTGGGTACATGTTTTACAGACCTACATCACATGTTGGTGACACTTTAGATTGGTCATTAGTTATTTAGCAATGATTGTAAGAAATGAAATAATCATTCGCTTATCATAAAACAAATCATATCCTATTACTTTCTTTGTCCAGCACGTAGCTTTAACTTTTATGGACTATATTAGTCCCTTCGATTATGCTATCGGGAATTACAAAAATGCTTGAGGTACACACTTTGTTTACACACTTTGTGTACACTCGTCTGTCTCTTAAGAAAATTTTGTCTGTCACAGACAATTCATATATGAGTTGTCTGTGACAGACAAAATTTTCTTAAGAGACAGACGAGTGTACACAAAATGTGTACACAAAGTGTGTACCTCTAGCATTTCTCCAGGAATTATGGGTTTCGGTTTTTAACCAATTCGACCAAATTTCATGTGCTCGGTTAGATCACTCCTATTTTTTAAGTGTATTTCTTCCAAAGCTTTATATGTGGCCAATGGAGTGGACTCATTGTCTCAATTTTTAATCAAAGAATTTGAAAGAATTCTTTCATATACTTTGAGTACTAGAGACTCTTTAGATGAGAAAATGGGTAAAGAAGTGAATGAAAATGGCGATCCAATTCCCGAGCGATGCTTACACTAACTACTTTGATGTTGTGAGGGTGTATTTGCGGAGCAGATAGCGTATTACTCAGGAGATGATTTCCTTGGTCATGCTTCAGAGAGTGAGTAGAGGACCCCTGTTTCTTCAAAAGAGGATCTATGGGACTCCGACACCATTTAGGACATTTGTAATAAAGCTAGACTGGTCACGAGTGACAATTGCTTGCCTACAACGAACTTAAACACTCAAATCAATATTTACAGGAAAAAACATCAGAGGTCGCATCTCATGAAGACTAGATTACAATCATGTATGGAGATTCTCGATTGAGCTTTTAGGATTTTTGGGGAAGGTTTTATTATTGCAATTCCGGTTGGGTTTATTTTGTTCTCTTTTATTTTGTTTTTTTTTCTTTTGAAATGTACTTTACCTTCTTTTTCTTTAATGAAATTGTTTTTCTTCAAAACCAAAAAATACTAGATGTGCTTCTGAAATTGGTTGGGGGGGGGGAGCAAACCAACTGAAGCAAAAAAATTACTACGGTACATATGTGAAATTTACCTTACATTTCCGACATTTTAAGGTGGTTGTGGTGTATCGGAAGAGTTGTCTCAGTAACGTCTTAATATAGGAGTATTCTACTATGATTGGTACCCTTTGTTAGGTATTTGAAAAAATGTTTTATTTTGAACTTACAATAGATACCCACACCAAGACCTGTATGTGGTTTTCCGTCAAACCACAACTCGAATTGCTTGTTTTTGAACCGGACTGGAACCGTAACCACAACCGCATAGTACTTTTGGTTCGGAACTGGAGGTTTACTAGATCGGTTCAGTTTCCCCAAAAATTGTGGAACCGGAACCAGACGGTTCCGGGTCGGAACCAGACGGTTTCGGGTCGGAACCTCCTTTTTTTAATTAATCATTTAATTATAAATATTATTAATATATGAATAGTGCTGAAAATTATAATATTTAAAAATAATTATAGAAGCGATACACGTCTGTTAAAAGGAGTTGTGCGCTCTCTGAGTGTGCCTGAGTGAGGTTAAAAGTAGATTAGCTTTTCATAACGTTCACATTAGGAGTAAAATATATTGAGTACCATTCCTCAATAAGTAGCACAAGAAAATTGAACCACTTCATGTTGATTGCGTGATTGAAATAATTCAAATTCCTTCCTCTCAATCTCACTCACTAAATCACTAGGCGACTATGTAGCACCGATACCGATACGCGGAAACGCGGAAACGCGGAAACGGGTACGGGGATACGTCAAAACCAAAAAAAGTAGGATACGGATACGGGGCCATATTTATAAATATTAAAAGTTATGGGGGTGTATTTACATATATTAAAAGTTATAGGGGTCTATTTATAAATATTAAAAATAGATTTTTTTTTAATATACTTCGTATATATACATACATACATACATACATATAATATGCTATGATGTCTACCCATTCATTGCATTGAAACATTTTCCTTTTTCAAGATACTTAGTAATAAATTCATAATATTTCTCATATACACTAGTGTATCTCGAAATATAAATATAGTCAATAAGTCATTAATTTAAAATGAGAAATAAGTCAAACAACTACAATCTTGAAATTAAAAGTGCAAGTACCCAATTCGGAGTATGAGTTAATGACTTAATTCGGATATAGCCATATAGGCCCATTATTTGATTACCAAGTAAAATGTAGTTTTAGATTTTAATTTTTTTTTAGAATTTTATTAAGTAAATTTTGGGATTTTTTTTTTAAAAAAAAAGTTGATACGGGTATCCGTCAGGATACGAGTATCGGAAACTTTCAAAAAATTACAAAAAAAAGTGGAAACTTTTAAAAATTGCAGATACGGCCCGGGAACGTACGGTACGGGTATCCTAGAGTATCGGATACGGGAACGTATCGGATACGCCGATACGCTACCCTAGGGAAGTATCCGTGCTTCATAGCTAGGCGACCACCGTATACAGACACAAACGTTATTTATTTTCCAGATTCATCCCCGAGTACTTTCCACCTTTTCCCATCTTTGTTAAGTCACATAGCCTCATTAACAATAGCCTCATCAACAAAAAACATTGATGCGCACCACATTAGCTTCTTTGTTTACAAGTTCTGTGAATGACAGACTCTCAGATCTGTGACCCGGTCAAGGTTAGTAAGTCAATAAAATTATAACATAAGATCTTTCTTTTAAAGATTTTTTTTTGAAAGAATCTTTCTTTTAAAGATTTTGTTTCTCTATTTGCACTCGATTTGAAATCTTAGTTCAATCTGGGTTTCGAGTATAGACACAGGGTGAAATATAGGGTGATGAATTTAGAATAGATATGTGTCATGTTTTAGATTGAACGTATGGGATAAATCAACTCTGAGCATGAGATGAATGGGACCAACATTGTGCATTCTTTAGAGTCAAATAGAGAAACCAAACATATCCCTATTTAACAATATTCTCAACTAAGAATAATGTTTTCAGCTTATCTTATTTGAATGTTTTTTATCTGAATGTTCCTCATCTGATCTGATATGAACTAGATCCTTCAGACCAGACCTAATTATACTTTTTTAGTGTTAATTTTTTTTTATTATAATACGATTACAGTCATTATTGTTTTTATTATTGTTGTTGTAATTAAAGTAGCCTTATGTAGCTGCCTCGAGGTTTATGGAAGAATTGAAACTGTGTTTCAAACAAGCAATGACTCTAATGTAATGTAATGAGCATTCTAAGATATGTCATCAACTCAAGGAAAGAATTGCCTAGTTATATGCAAGAATACTTAGCTACACCCAAGGTTGTTAAACTCGAGATCCTAGCTCGGATCGGGAGGGGGTTGTGAGATCGTAACTCGGATCGTAAGATCCTAGAAGCAAAGATACCATGCATCAATATAAACTAGTATATATTTATATATAGATATGGATTCATAGATATACACATTTAAACATAAAACTTTTGAAATTTTAATAACATAATGTCAATTTTGAATTTAAACACTTAGCATAACAAACTTAACTTAAGATAAAGTAGTACCAATAGCCCAGTCGGCCAACAGTTGGAGAATAGAACAAAAAAAACTAAGAGTATGCAATGAGAGGCCGAATACAGAGAGTGAAAAGAGAAGCTCACGAGTAGATTTGAAAAACTGTTATGCGGAGAACTAAAGATGAGACAAAGATGAGTAGGCGACCCTCCCCAGCCTTTTTATGGAAGAAGTGAAGAAGGTGAGTCGCTGTGGTGAGTCTGGGCGCCGCATAGCTACGTCGCTTCGGGATTGGGTTTTTGTTTTGTTTTATTTTAAATTCAAAACCTGTCGTTTCCAATTTCCGACTCTGAGAGTCGTTTCGGAATTCTGACCAGGTGAGTTGGATTCTCTCCCTCAGGCATGGATGACGGAGATCGACTGAGATCGATGATTTTAAGATCTTACGATCTTACTCGACGATCCGTCGATCTGGCAGCGTTTTGCGATCTTCTGTCCGATCCAACTCGACCTTGGTACATTGACGCGTATAATCATACGAGTTAACGATCTACCTCGCGATCTTAACAACCTTGGCTACACCTACTTTTAGGATACATAAAAATAATATTAATATACTATCTCCATCCCAAAATGAAGTTCATGTTCAATTGTTCACTATTCATTGGTCAACTTAAGTCACAACTAATTTTTTACTTTATATATGAAATTTTTATCAAATTTAAATTTTCTTGATCAGGCTTTGGAGCGGTTTTAATGTAGTTAGTTTATGAACATGTAAATTTTATTTACTAAAAAAAATACGAGTGTGAACAGGGATCAAGTTGCTTTATTGTCACTCAAGCATCGTAAATCGAACGAGAACTTCTTTACGGGACGGAGGGAGTAGTATTTAACTACACCTATATTAGTAATCACAACCACAACCACAACAACAACAGTACAACAACAGCGACAACAACAACAACAATAACAACATAATGATAATGATGATGATGATATTAATACTAAGTATAATAGAGAATTCATCTGAGTGGGTCTTTTCTGAAAAACACTGCGCCAAATGTATACAAAAAACATATTATTTTTCAATAATTTATTTAACTGACTTTTCGATTGAATTTTAAACTGAATTTTTGTGAAAAATATTTTATACTTCATGAAGGACATGCTCATAAAATTTCATCAAAACATTCTACCAGGAAGCACCTTAAATAGACAAGTTCGGACGGAGGTTCCCGTTAGAACTACATGAGATGATCTTTTCCGTGTATGTGTGTGCGCGAGTGTAAAGATAAAAAAACAAGAAATAAAAAGAAGATTCCAAAACACATCGGAAACCATGAAAAACAAGCGAGAGTACCCAAAAAGTGAGTACCCAAAAAGTAAGGGTATCTAAAAAGTGAGAGTACCCAAATTGATGAAATTATAATCTATTAAAACATTAAGGTTTTACTCTCACAAAAAAAAAAAAAAAAAAACTCTTCACTCTTTATTGCTTATGATATGTTACTTTTTGGATATTTTATTATTATTTTATTATTTGTCCACCTTTCTAGTTTTTCTAGTTTACAAGTTTTACCTATAAAAAATGTCACCTTTATTCCCCTCTTTTTTTATCTTTAGCAAATATTTAATCTTTCCTACTTTTTTATTAACTTCCATTCCTCCTCCACTTATTTAATTGCGTTTGTTAATACGTTATCTTTTTTATTGCTTTCCTGCCCTACTCACTTAAATACATTTCTTAATATTTTTCTCTTTCCTAAGTTTTCATTGAAACATAAATCCTTCTAAACTCTATATTGCCCCCATTGTTTTCTCGTGAAATACCTTGAATATCCTAATAGGACATTTGACAAAGAATTGAAAGACAATAATACAAGACAGATTATATAATATACTAAAAATCTTAAAACGTTAGTATAGTATTCCCTTGACCATATAATGTTTTCCATTTTGTTCTAATGAATAGTTTGTGTGGTTATGGCTCCTTCACCAATTAAATCACATTCACATATCTTTGCTTTATTAGTAAGTGTGTCAATTCAAAGGGAAAGAATAATTCTCATGAATAGACAAATACTCCCTCCGTTCTCTAATAGATGGGAGTATAGCCTTTAGCACAAGTTTTAAGAAGAAATTAATAGGGGTGAGATAAAAGGTGTAGTGAGTTGTGTGTGAAGGAAAAAGTAGGAAAGATAATGAAAAAGTAGGAAAGAGAATGAGAGTATATAGGTATATTTATTGAAAAAACTTTCTAAAAATGGAAAGAGAGACATGTATTGGAGAACATTCCAAAATGGAAAGAGGAACATGTATTAGAGAACGGAGGGAGTATTTGTTAAAATATTCAATAAATTATTGAATACTGCGGAGTATATTTTAAAAGCATAAAAAAGTCAATATTTATTACTTAAATGGTCTATTCTAAATTACGTAGTCATTACTATTCACTAATGCTTTTTTTTTTTTTACTTTTCTGTACTGTTTTACTGAATTTTACTAAACATTTTCTTAATCTCTAAATACCTAAGATTTGTAAATTTTTAACACAATGCTCTAACCCTTACCGGACCATTTTATAATAATGATACCGCTACTAAAAAATCTCTTTTAAAACATTGAAAACAAAATAATAATAATCAGAAATATAAGTTTTTTTGTAATAAGTTCTCTAATAGGAACAAAATGTACTCCATAGTACATTTTCATCAAATAGAGTACCATTCTTATCTTCCAAAAATAGAAATTGATCATTTACATATATTTAGGGTCCTTTTTTCTTTTTACGTTAATAGGACTAAATAACATAATTCCACTTTAAATTTTTATCCATATATACTGTGGTAATATTTTGAACAATTTTTTAACTTTTATAATGACAATAGAGCTCATAAATATCATCCCCTAACAAATTTATAAATTTACTATACATATATTAAAGTCAATACTACTAATTAGTTGCAATGGTGGGGGCAATGATGGGATAAATGCAAGACGGTTGAGAGGGTGGTGCATAAGCATATTCCCTTGATCAATGTGCTAAATTAAACAATGCTAGCTTGCTTTGACCTTATCGTTTCCGAGGTATACATAGTAATGACCGAACAAAAAATTCATAAACTAAATTAAAAACGATTGACAAACTAATCAAATCGATGAAAACGGGTCAAAGATATGCGATTTGAATCACGGTTTAAGTATTAAGCTTGTAAAAATGACTGAAGCAACTTGTAACATGCCAAAATCGACCGAAACCGACTGAAAATAACTGAACCAAAGTCGACTGACTAAGGTCATGTTTGGTAGGCATAAGCTCCTACCTTTTAGCTTTTGTATAATTTACAAAAATCTTCAAAAGCTTCTAGTTGTATGTTTGGTAGGATAAATTTTAAGAGTTTTGTACAAAATAAAAGATCTTTTTTGAGATGCTACGGTAAGTAGCATCTGGGAGAACATCAGTAGCTTTTAGCTTTAATTAGTCACTTGTTATATCAAACATAACTAAATTTAACGGTCAGCTTTTTATCTAACAACTACAACATTTTTCTTTTAAGATCTTTTCGGTTACTAAAAGCTAACAATTATTAAAAAGTTCATAAAAGTATCTTTTTAGCTAGTTGTGCCAAACATACCCTAAATGTAGTTAGTTTGACTTATGGTTTTACCTTTCTTAATATGGAACTAACCTAAATTAATCCGAACCGATGAAACCAAAAACCGAGAAAATCGGACCAACAAACGCCCCTATATATACCCGACTGTATTGATCTAGTTTAAATGTGAACCCAGAGGAGTTTAAAGTTTAGTTTCAATTATCTAGTTTCAATTGCCATGGATTTGAGTTCAATCATAATCTCTTCTCAGTACCACTGCCATGTGTTTCTAAACAACGCTATTCTCAACGGCGTTGAAAATCCTCCGGTGAATGCCTTCTTCATTCAGATCACCGTCCGGAATGTGACTAGCCTTCACTATATTTCCCGTCAAACCAACATGTGGGTCTTTCACTGCAATGTAAATGAAGATCCACACTTTTCCAAAAGTCTCATACTTTCTGCCAACAACTATAACAACGTGCTTTGTGACTTGATCACAAGTTTCAATGAGGTGGCTATGGTTCTCACGGAAGCTGTCATTCCCGCCTCTGAGCATTCTTGGATTGTGGCAAAACTCAACTCCACTGCCATGGCGGTGGCCCGACGGTTTGGCAACCTTGAGGACAAAACCATCCCTCTCGTTGTTGATATTGCCAAGTCACACTTCAAGATCATCGGAGATCCCTTCCAATCCAACATTGAAGAGTATGTGAACAACCAGGTAGTGTGATTTTTTTCGATTTTAGATGGTGTTTGATATCCTTGATTTTCCGCTTATAAATTTTTAGAGCGGGGCTTGATATCTTGTTTTTCAACTAAGAAGCTTTAAATCATCACTCTACTTTTTCTAATCACATTTGAACTTTTCACGCTCTAGATTGTGTAATAATCTAATCATGTAGGATGTGATTACTTTTCTAACTAAATTGGTGTAAATTGTTGAAAACTAGTTAAGCTTTTTTAATTTTTTTTACTATATTAAATTATTAATAAATATATTATACTTTTGATGTTTTTTCATAAATAATACTGAAATGAAACTTATTTACAAAAATATGACTAATGATTTCTATAGCATAGTCTCATAGTCACTTAAGAATAAAAACTGAATATAAATTACTATGACTAAGGTACTACTATTTAGGAGGTCACACTTTTTGCAAACAACATTTCTTTTAAGTCATATACGTATGATTTTTCTTTAACTTTTTCATAATTATGTTATTTTAGCAATCATTTTTGAAAATCTAGAAAATCCAGTCAATTATAGAGCATTACAAAACACGCTCTTATCTCCTAAATGAGAAACTTCGGTAACATGCACATGTTTGATTTTTTTAGACTTGAGTTAGCACTTGCTCACAATGTGGTGATCACATTTTTATTATTAGGATATTTTCACACTGATTGGTGTACACAACTTGATTAGATCAAAGTTTAGTAGACAGAATAGAGTCATAGACTAGATTAAATAAGAATGACTTAATAAAGACAGACTAACTTAGCTTACAAATAATATACCCATAATATTATATCTTATTAAACACGTGAAAATGAATTTCAATCAATGTGAAAAAACAATTAGTCTGAGTGACATTGTTGCTAGTTATCCAAATACATAGAAAATGACTTTTTCATGCTCACACTATTTTACAAAAGTTTGAATGACAATATGGAGAAATGATAAAAATAGGAAAATTTAACTTCACAATTGATGGAGTATATGGACTCCGACCCCCCGGTCTGCCGACTACTGGGTCTGGACAGCGGCCCACACACGTTTATCGGATTCATATTATTGTACATTATTATTATTAAGATGTTCTAGATTAACTTTTTATACTATAGTCCATTTATATAACCGGGTCTATCGGACCCATATTAGGGGCCCAGACCCGGATTTCCCTATATATACTCCCTTATGTAAGGCTTGTAAACCATAACTCATAGAACTCATAGTTCATACTCTATACACACTTATCTCTTTCTCCACATTATTTGTTCAAATCTCTTTAGTTATAGGATATGGGTATCAATTATCCAACAATGGTGCTCTCGTTGAGAGGTTTGAACACAATCAAGTTAGAAAACATCCCCAAAATACAAAAATTCATACGAATCACAAAAACTCAACCAAGAAACGTTCTGGAAAAAAATCAAAGATACAGCAAGAATAGATCGGGAATTTTAGATCTAGGGTTTTCAGATCCGCGCCAAATTTCCGGAGCTGTCTTTGTCGCCGTTGTCCATGCTGTCGTACGCCATCTGCTAAGCTCGCTGCACCAGTTGGAGTTCGCTGGGTCGTTCCCAAGAAGTACCATCGCCGCTCCAGACCTCACGTGTCATCCGTTCGCTAAATCTGTTTGGAGGGTGACATTGAAAGGCGGCCGATGTAATCTTCGCCATCACTGGGTCATCATGCACCGCCAGTACAGGTGTCGTCACTGTTTCCGCTCATAGCTCCTCCTTTCCAGTCGCCGGTCGTTCCTCCACTTCACCGGCCGCCGCTCGCGAGTCCACCTTGCCATTGACGTGGCATGAGATATCTGCCGGTTAAAGGTTCGTCATTAATGGTGGCTTGGAGTTCATGAGAAGCAGATCCAAAGCTAGTTGGGGCCACCCTCTTTGTCCTGTCGCTAGTTCACCCTTCTCTTCATACCGAGCTATCCACAACCATCCTCAGTTGTTGTTCGGTGTGGCGGACCGGAACTGCGCACCGTTTGTTCTCATTCAGCAACTATGGTGGTCAATGTTGTTGCCTCGCCACTTGTGATTGCAAAGTGTGGCTTCTTCTGGTACTGGTGAGCTGCGCAGATGATGGACGAGCCGGCGTGGACATGGTTTGATATCCCAAGAGGCATATAACCAGTTGACCCAATTAACCATTCAACTCTCAACTGTAGTGGATAAAAGAGAACGTACGTGGATGCATTCCAGTCCATAAAGATTAAAAAAGATAAGTACTTCGTATTCTTTAATTCTAATATGAGTATTATTTATATTTATTTAAATCATTTTTTTGTCGGGTGAATGTCACACTATCACACACTTATGATCAAATGCCTAGTAGAGTGTGGCTTGAGACCCATCACTAGGATTTAAAGCCCTGACCAAGATCAGGCACAAAGCCCCAACCAAGTCGGGCACGAAGACCGGTCTTAGTCATTCCTCGAGTGGCGACCGTTGCTTACGAATGGCTCACACATCCATTCTACTAAGTATTTTATCATTACATTAACAATTCACATCTCCACTTATTTCAAGTGATGAACTCCCGATCGGAAACATAAATCCCAAGAAAAAAATTATATGTATGTTAAATGTGTAGGTACAAAGATGACTTTACTCATTTTCACCTCCGTCTCCACTCGCCTCAAGGAGTGGGGGACTAGGGGACTGAGAGGTCAGAGTTTCTAGATGAGCAGAAAATATCATGCATGAGCAGGAACGAGAGCTGAGTCAGTTGAAGAGGAGCTGAGCTAGATTGATTATGCCGGAGGGGACTTACCTTCCTTGTTTCATGTTGGGGGCGCTAGGTGTACTCTTTTTCCCTTCATTAGGATTTTTTTTCCCATTGGGTTTTTTCCTAGTAAAGGTTTTTGACGAGGCACCTCCCCATCATGGACAAGGGTGGTGGTCCCCCGGCCGGAGAGGAAGAAACCAAAGACAGAAGAACGTTGCAGATACAATTTGGACTACTCCCTTTCGCCTCGAGTACTCTCGACTCAGGGAGTGGGGGACTCCTGATGGAGTATATGGACTCCGACCCCCCGGTCTGCCGACTACTGGGTCTGGACAGCGGCCCACACACGTTTATCGGATTCATATTATTGTACATTATTATTATTAAGATGTTCTATATTAGCTTTTTATACTATAGTCCATTTATGTAACCGGGTCTATCGGACCCATATTAGGGACACAGACCCGGATTTCCCTATATATACTCCCTTATGTAAGGCTTGTAAATCATAACTCATAGAACTCATAGTTCATACTCTATACACACTTATCTCTTTCTCCACATTCTTTGTTCAAATCTCTTTAGTTATAGGATATGGGTATCAATTATCCAACAACAATAACTAGAAAAAATAAGCTGAAAACAAAACAACAAAAATAGGTACTAGAGAAATAGCCGGTAAGACAGTAGCCAAAATACTTAAGTGAAAAAAAACTCATTAATTAAATTAAATAAAGCATGTCAATATATAAAGCAATCTATAACATAAAAACTTGAATTATTACGACAGATTTTTTTCTACTATTACAGTGGGTCGTAGCGGCAGACAGTGACAGATTTGAAGAGTTTGATGATAACGAGGAAGAGGAAAATGATATTAACGATGAGGTGACAAGGTTATCGATAGATAACGAAGAGGAGGATTACAATAATTCTCCTGCAACCGAGTCCTCAATCACTGCACTAGAGAAGGTGAAGTCCAACGAAAAAGGAGAATGTGCGATATGCTTGGGAGATATGGAGGTGAACGAAATGGTGACTCGCATGCCTTGCGATCACAAGTTTCATGGAGGTTGCATTGTGTAGTGGTTGGGAAGGAGACATGTCTGCCCCTTGTGCCGTTTTGAAATGCCGGTGGCCACCACCGCTACCGCAATGGATGCACCTAGTTAGGGAAATTTCAAAATGCATTATCCTTTTATTATGTGTACGCTTATTTAGTATTTCGGTCGTGCAATTTGATTTTTTGTGTGTGCAATTTGTGTTATAGATAATTAGTTTTCCATTTTAATTATGGGTTTATTTATTAATTTGGTTGTGCAATTTGTGATTTTTTGACAAGTGCAATTCCTGTTATAGACAATTAGATCTTAATTGTGAATTTTAATTATACATGTATAACATTAGTATTATGATGATGATGATGATGCATCTTTCGTTTCGAGCTAATTGGTATTTTTTGAAAGATGGTATTTATTTTATTATCTCTTTAAAATTATGTTTCGGACTGGATATATTGATTTCATGACATGTTTTTGAATTATATTTTCGAACATTGAATTATACGAGAGCCTATACTGTACACCCCGTTGTACGGTGTTCACCGTACAACCGGGTAATTTATGTTACACGTAATGAGCGCAGCATTACGTTTAAAAGAAATGAACATTGGTATTAAATCATTTTATTGATAGCACAATTGAGTATTAGGTGTGCAATTGACTAATTGAGTATCTTGATCTACATGTAATATATACTACAAACCAACTTATTCATTTAATTGTATTATCATAAAAATTATTTATGTACTATTTTTATAGTTTAATACCAATACTCATTTCATTTTAACTATTTACTCATTAGGTATAAGTTAAAATACCCGACGGTACCATGTGCATGGTATAGCCGGTTCTACCGTATAATTTACGTAATTATTATACTGGTTACATTTGAATAGAATTTTTTAACTAATCAGTCATATTTTGAATAAAGTTATATTCTTTTCTTGAGAATATTAGTTGTATTCTGATTTACAACTTTTAGTTCAAGCTTCAACTAGTTATAATAACTTGTTAAATCAAACCTTTTTATTTGGAGCAACATATTTTATGTTATCTTTTTTTCATTTATTAATTTTTTCAAAACTAAGAGTTTTTAAAAAAGTTCAAAAATATCTGGAATAAAGAAGTACGCATGGATGGAAAGTTGCGTAGATACACATTTAAAACGCTTTTTCAAAGAAAATTCAAATTTACCAGGAAGGCATGGTATGTTGGAAGCATACAAAATAAAACACAAATGTGTTTGTGAGCTATCTCCAAACGAATAGCTAGGTGGAGCACCTGAACAAGCGTGAGCGTCGAATTGTGTATAACACACATCTCCTGAACCAAATCTGGAGGGGACGTATTCAACGAGCATATGGGTTAAGGACACGTGTAGATTGACCATTGGTTACATTCAATGTTCTAAAAGGCGTTAGGCGCTAGTCGGGCGCCAGCCCAGCGCCTAGCGCCTAGTCGGCTAGGCGGGTGCCTAGGCGGGGACTAGTCGGAGACATAAAAATTGTAGTTTTATCAATATATTTGCATAAATAAGATTAGTAATGTTGTGTTTGTGTGTTTATAAAAAATACACACACATACACATTAACATGCATGAATGATAGAATTATCACATTTAATAATATATTATACTTACTCACTTACTCACTAGTAGCTTTCTTCTTATGCATTGTCAAAGTTAAAGGTACATATATCCCTTAGGATACTAAAATAAAAAAGCAAAAAAAAAGTTCGATGAATCTAGGCGCCTAGGCGGGCCCATTAAGCGCTCTAGGCGGGCAACTAGGCGCCCTAGGCGGCCGACTAATTCACCTAGGCACCAAATCAATTAGTCGGAGCGCCTAGACTAAAATCGGGGCGCCCGACCATCGCCTAGCGCCTAGGCGTGGACTAGTCGGGCGCCTAGAGCGATTTTTAAAACAATGATTACATTATTTATGGATGATTGTAATATACTTCCTCCGTTCTTTAATTCTTGCAACATTGTAATTTTTGCACTATTCACAGACTTTACTTTGACCATGATTTTCTACTAATATACATAATCAAATTATTAGTATAAAATGTTATTGAATTCCTATCAATGTGAATTTTCAAAATATCAACTTTTTATAATGTTTACTAATACATAATTAAATATAATTACAGTCAAAATTGTGTATTGGCAAACATGAAAGTCAAACTGTTGCAAGAATTAAGAAACGGATGATAATATATACCTTGATAATGATTTTGCAAGGATTAGAATATCCATTCTATTATCATAAAGCAAACAAGATCCTTATTACTAGGGGTGGACACATCGGTTTGGTTTAACCGAACCGAATCGTACCAAGCGCAACTAAACTAAATCGATACCGGACTACGCAATTTGGTTTGATTTTGATAGTATTTCTTCCAAACCAAACCAAACCAAATAGATAAAAATCGAACCGAAAACCGATATGCTCATCTCTACTTATTACTATCTTTGGCTAGCACTTAGCTCCTACTTTGGGGACAATATTAGGCTGATGACATTCATGTAATTTCCATGTGTAAATTTGTGTTTTTAATTAGTTTAGAGTGAGTGTTACTTCGGAAATTACACACTTTTGGTGTAATAGTTTAGTTTGTAAAATATTTGTAATATGTTTAGATTAGGTTTATTCTGAGCTCAAACAGGTCCAAGAACACTTTGGGGACCATTGGTGAACACCACAAGTGGAAGGAAAGTGCAAAAATGCAAGACAAAAAGTGGAGATTTCGTTTTTGGTCTGTACCCGGTCGGGTATGACCTATACCCGATCGGGTACCCTTCTAAAAAATCAAATCGGATCAACCCGGGAACCAAGCAACATGCGGGAAAGATTTTGGCCATGTTCGATTGTCATACCCGATCGGGTGACCGACAGACCCGATCGGGTATGACCCTATTTTTCAGTTTCTGGGCAATTTCCTAAGATACCCGATCGGGTATCCTATATACCCGATCGGGTACACAGCCCTGCAGCTCCCAAAAGCCTATAAATACACCCCATTTCCTTCCCATAAAAGCACCAATTCACATATACTTCTTAGCTCAGTTTAGACAAGTTCTTTCTTTATATTTTTCATCATGTTTAGTCTCCAAATGAGGAGCTAAACTCTTCCATCTTGGTTTTGCTACTTTGAAGCTTAATGAATTTGTAAGTTGTGAGTTATTATCTTTAATCTTCTTCCTTGAATATTAATTCTTTCTTTAAATACTATTTCTATATCAATGTTGGGGAGTGTTACTAAGATGACAATTAGTTAACATCTTGACATTAGTTATAGTAATAGTTATTTCTTCCTCTACGTTAATATCGGGGAGTGTTACTAAGATGACAATTAGTTAACATCTTGATATTAACTATAGTAGGATTCATCTTCTTTAATATTCTTCCTTGAGTATTAATTAATTCCTATTCATATTTCATATTAATATTTTGAACATTACTTAAAGGATCAACTAGTTTTGTTTCATATATTAATTATTACTAGAATCGGTCGATTAATACGCTTGTTATTAATTCGGTCCTTTCGCGGTAGTAAACTTGGGTTATTAATGCATGAGTTTCATGGTTAATAAACCAAGGGGAATTAATTATATTGATTAAACCAATAAACCGCTTGTGTTGAGGTTATCAATCTCAATCGTTTTCATCTTGATTTTATTGCTATTATCGAGTGAATATACGTCGCGTGTTCTATATTAACTCGGTAGTAAGTTTTATTAATGAACGCGTCTCGTTATTAATAACTACCCTCGATGAATTGGATATACTCCTCGATTGAGTATTCGAGAGAAAGATAGTTAAAGATATAACCGGGATCGACGAACATTTCATTAAGTGGATAAAAGCAAAGCCAAGTCTTCTTCTCATTAATTAAACCACATAACTCGTTCATCTTCGTATTTAAATATAATTTAAAGTTCATCAACCAAATATAAACCCCCATTATTGTTACTTATCTATTTCTGTAAGAAGAAAAGTATTCCTTTCCCTGTGGATACGAACCTTACTACACTATACTACGTATTAGTATCGTATTGTATTATTACTTTGAGTGCACCTCACGACAAAGTGCACGTCAAATTTGGCGCCGTTGCCGGGGAAAGGCAATTATTTTTCTTTTTATTTTGTTTTAAAAAAAATCAAAAAAAAAATATAATTAAATAAAAATATAAAGAGTTCTTATTCTTCTATTTCTGAGCTTTGTGAAGTATATGGTAAAATATCGTTCACTGAACGAAATCACCTACCAATCAAACCCCGAAATAGAGCAAACTCTCGAGCGGTTGAAAAATAAATTCTCAAATACCGACTCGGGAGATTCATCAAGTGCTAGCTCTTATTCTAGCGAGCCTGAAGAACCAACAACTATGGCTCTCGAAACAAGAACGTTAAGGGAGCTCACAGCTCCGAACTTGAATCAACAGCCGTTATGTATTACCTTCCCTACACTCAACGAGGGTAATACATTTGAGCTAAAATCAGGGCTCATTCATCTTTTGCCATCCTTCCATGGCTTAAGGGGGGAAGATCCGAACAAACATCTGTCAGAGTTCCACATTGTATGCACGAGCATGTGCCCCAACGGAGTCACGGAGGAGCAAATCAAGCTCAGAGCTTTTCCATTCTCCTTGAAGGACACCGCAAAAGATTGGCTTTTCTATCTTCCTTCGGGAAGTATAGACACATGGGCGGCCATGAAAAAATGCTCCTTGGAAAGGTATTATCCCGCTTCCATTTCATCATCTCTAAAGAAGCAAATCAGCAACATCGAACAAGGTGATGATGAATCACTTTACGAATATTGGGAGCGCTTCAAAAAGCTTTGTGCCAGTTGCCCATACCATGGATACACGGAACAAGACCTCATCCTCTACTTCTATGATGGTCTTGCGGAACACGATAGGAGAATGGTGAATGCGGCATGCGGAGGGGGCATTGTTAACAAAACCCCTTCTCAAGCAAGAAATCTCCTCTCGGAGTTGGCGGAGAACTCTAGGCATTACAACGGAAGATCCTCAACCCGTAAAGTTGCCGCGGCGGAATCATCTTCATCTTTGGAGAGTCAAGTTGCCGGCTTGACTTCTTTAGTTAAGGATTTTCTCTTAAATCCTAGAACCCAAGAGGTCAAGGTCTGCGGCATATGCACACAACAGGGGCATCCAACCGATTCTTGCCCAAATCTTCAAGAAGAGCAAGTCAATGCCTTGGGTTTTCAATCTCATCAACAAAAGAGGTACGATCCACACTCTAACACTTACAACCTCGGGTGGAGAGATCACCCGAATTTGAGATATGGGAACCCTCAAACACAACATAATCAGTCCTTTCAACAATCCTTCCCAAATCACCAAGGCCAAACCTC